TTTGTTGACAATAAAAAATATATATCAAATATATATATATATATATTTTGCACTTACCTCTTAAACTTTCTTGTTGCTTTCAAAATAGTGCAATGAATTGATATATTATTTTCTTAATAAATATTTTACTATATTTAATAAGCTGAAGTAAGTGTCAAAAAAAATTTTAAATTTTTGGCTGAAAATCTGTTGAATTAATACAGTATCTAGTTGCGTTATAGAATAAAAAAGTTATAAAATTTCACTTCTTCATACAAATCATTAAAAATTCTTTATAAAAATTAATTGCCATATCAATCTCAATTTGTCAGAAAAATATTTTCTCATAAATAGTAATTAGAATATGTACTCGTATTAAAATACTTTCACTTATATTGATCTATCAATCATTAAAAGTATTTAATACAACATGCTAATAAGCATTTGACATGCAATTCGCCAATAATAACAAATCAATGTACGAGTATATTGTACTTTCCGGTAATAAATAATTCTTTCTTTTAACACTATTTCATTGAACTATCAAATTCTTATGTAGCTATAAACTATGTGACAAATATAATTCATGAGCTTACGGATACTTCTGCCAGCATATCGAACAAACAATTTAAAAAGAAACAGTACTATCGGATTGTAGAAGCACTTTAACGCGATTTTCATGGCATGAATGTACAATCACATTGTATATTCGATTGTTATGCCGGCAGTTTCATCCTGCTCAACACAGGTTTGTAAAGTACTTGTCCTTTTATTACAAAGTGACGTGGATCCGCATATCGAAACGCGAGGCATAGAGGGACTCTCTGGGGAATTTACTCTTTTATGTATATAATTATTTATATCATCAATTATAATGAATATATAGTTATGTACAATATTGAATCTCATTCTTTAACAATAACATCAACAACATGATTAAACAACGTTCCTCATTGGTACACAAATTGTAAATGTACAGATAAAAAAGCATTAGATGAGGTCAATGAGGTGGCGTACGCTCAGCGCGCCATTAATTCCCTCTTCTTTTTTTACATTTTTTTAAATCCCCATATATATATATACTTATATCTTGAACCATTCTGCGGGTTCTTTATTCGATTTTTCATGAGCTTATATTTATATATATATATATATATATTTATATATATATATATATGTATATACTTTAAAGTATATACTTTGTTTAGATACACACGTTTCCACATACACACAAATGCGTCAGATTTGCTCCGCGCGACACAACGAGAACATGACAGTTGATGATATCGATTGGATCAGTGCGTGATTTAATTCTTAAAGAGAGTGCATGAGTAATTTGTGACACGCGACTGGCCAGCCGTAAGTCTATTGCATAATTTGCATAAATTTGCCGAATAATATATCACATTTTTAAATAATAAGCAAGGACTACCGTAATTGTTTTGCGCAACAATTCATAATTTTTTTTTTATACACGCCAAAGAGACATAATAACCTATGAAAACGTTGTCAGTAAATCAATAGGCATTGTCGCTCTTTTTAATTTGTCATCTTGTTAACTTGGCTTGCCAAGCGCGCGACACAAATCTCGACCGATCATCTAAAATCCTACACAAGGCTCCGACGAGTTTTCTTTTTTCGTCGCTTGATAAACGACTTTCACATAATCTAACGCACGAATTTGTATTATTTTCGTATAGAATCAAGGCGAGACAGAGTCGCCGAAACTTTTTCCGGCACTCAAAACGCGAAGGACTTGCTTGCATTCTCATGGTTCACTGATAAATGTGTTCTTCGCCAGGAACTCGTAAAAAGAAAAAGAAACACTAGAGACTAGTCATTCGAGATTTTTGTCTTACAGCTTCTTCCTAGCCGTTCATTCATTTATTGTTAGTTCATTACTCCGAGGCACCGATTATTATGGCCCTTTCAATACGAAGAAAACAATAAATTTATAAGAATGAAAAATTTTAAATCAATTCCATAATTCCTTCGTGATAATTATTATATGAAAATTTCTGAAAGAATTGAAAATCAGAAAACATATCAAATGCACTTGAAAAATTTCTGTAATAAATTTGCAAATAAATCTTGGTTAAATTTTTTGTAAAACTTTAAAAAGAAATTATTATCCAATTTTAAATAAGAAAATTTTAATTACAAATTAACTTATTTATAATGTATTAAAAATTATCTTTGAAGCAATTTGAAATTTAAACTCTTAATATTTAAATAATCAACATTTACAAAAGCTAAAAGATATTCCTCTTCTAATTTTCATTCTTTTATGCACATTGCGTACATAATATTATATAATCATCAAAACTTTCCTGTCAAATTGTAATAAATCTAAGAAACAATAAGTCTAAGAAAATTATTGTTTATTTGTTTTCAAAAATTTTTTTAATACAAATAAAACATACGCAATAAGTATATATTAATGAATTGTATACTGTCTTTTTATCTCTCATGAATTATTCCTTGTGCTTCCGCCTTTCCTTATATTACGATTGAACATTCTAATTTCGAATCATCTCAATTTAGCGGCTGGGGAAAAGAGGAAAGACAAGCAGAGACGCACGGAATTTGATCGCTGCAGAAATACAATGTCTATGCGAATATAGTTCCACATAATCAGAATTAGTTTATATTGAAAACATAATCCTGCAATCGTCATCTTTCGATGTTACGATGTTTAAAACGAATTTCATAAGTCCAAATAAACTTGAAATATTTTTAACACTATAAAAGATTAAAAATTTTGTACCAAGAATACATGTACATGGTACTTTGTGATCGACTTGATTACAAAAATATTTATTTTATATAGACAAATCATTTCATAAAAGAGAAAATCCGAAACATTTAATAACAAATTGAATTGAACTAACCAATGAAATTATAGTTGTCGTATAAGGATCTAACAACAAATTTACATTTTTTTTCACACACACTTTGCTATACAATTCTATATTTTTTTAATCAAATAATTTCTTATTCAATAAATTTTATGCGAAACATCGAAACTTCGAAATTTTCTAGCTCATTACTCATATCCCAGCAATTTGTTTTACAGCTACAGTCTATAAAAAAGTTTGCAACTAAAAAAAAAAATCAAAAACATTTTGTTTAACGAAAATGCACACGCTTCAAAAAGAGTTTTGCACCATTCAAATTTCTAAATATCTGAATCGTACATGTAACCATCCGTTAAATTCTTTAATCGAGAAGATAATCCATCAAATTAATTAATGACAAAAATTAATCATTCCTTCTATCTTAATACACGAATATACGTAACAGGTGATGCAAAACTATATTTGGTTTGTGCTGACAATGAAGTATTTTCACAACGTAGCTTCACACAATGATCAATACGGCGGCGGAAGTCAAATATACGATGAGATATTTTTTCACGAGAACCGCGAGATTTTCAAGACCCTGCGTGAACAACAACTCTCGGGCTAGTTGCACCAACATCATCCGGCGTTGAAAGCGATTAATTAAATTTTCCTTACATGTATTATAAGAGCGTTTTGTAACTTTTATTATATTTAAACTTTTCTTGTTTGTATGCGTTATCAGTACCTGCTTCTGCAGAGGAACGATAACTCGCTAATCGGAAGTTAGTCTATCCGGACTGTCAGTGCAGCTCAGTCCTATGCGACCGGCGCTATGTGTCCTTTGTACTTGGCAGGGTGCGTGTCCACTCGCGCGCCTCGCCTTGCTTATCCTTTTTTCTTTTTTTTCTCTTTTTTGACGCACTCGAGCTATACATAGAAAGTTATGTACAACGATATTAACATGAACTGCAGTGGCAGTGAACAGTGCACGTGGATATTGCAAACAGCAGCAGCAGCAGCAGCAGCAGCAACAGCAGCAGCAGCAGTAGCAGCGGCGGCGGCGGCGGCGGCAGCGGCGGCGACGATGACGACGACGACGACGACGACGACGACGATGACGACAATTATACAAGGTGTATGCATAATACGAAACACGGCAGCGACTACCACAACTAGTTTGTTAATCTGTCTGCTTCGCAATTCTCTCTCTCTCTCTCTCTCTCTCTCTCTCTCTCTCTCTCTCTTCCTACTCCTACTTGCTACTCCTCAGTTTATGAACTTCCGGTCTATGATCCTGTGATGATCAAAGCGCGAAATCGATGTCTCGCAACGGCTGACACATATCATGTTATCATTATCACGAATATTTTTTTCCTTTTTTTGTTTATCGCTTTTCTAGATTCTATGTGCCACTTCCGAAGAATAGTCTCATTGTATGCGCGAACTCCGATCTAATTTTCAGCTTGCATGTATGTGCGTGTGTAAACATATTTTATATATATGTATACATTTACATATACATATATATGTAGAGAGAAAGACAGAGACAGAGAGAGAGAGAGAGAGAGAGAGAGAGAGAGAGAGAGAGAGAAAGATGTTTATATATGTATGTAAGTATATGTGTGTGACTCGAATTGTGAATTGAACTTGTATTTGTGTGATTGCGCGTATGTCATAATATCTATTCTCGTAGGTGTGTGATTACATGTGCGTGTTTCTTTCCGTGTATGAGCGGAAGGGACCGCGTTACACGTGCGCACATATTATGTACGCGCAGCAAAAAAAAGGAAGATAGAGAGAAAATGTACAAAACCAGAGAAAAGTAAAATGATTGTACTTATGTTCGTGTATGAAAGGAGAAAATATTTGTGTATAAGTGTGTATCCGTGTATTTCTTTTACACATATGTATATTTTTCCTCCTTTTTTTTATATATATGTACGTCCGTATATATACACACGTGAGTTTCACAAAAATATATAAAAGAGAGAATATCTATGTGTATACATATATATATATAATATATATATATGTGCATATATACCTATAATGTATATATACCGATATATAGACGATTTATACTTAAATTTGTGTGGAAAAGGGTATTTTATCGTAATTTATCTATATGTATATATGTATACATATATATACATATATATATAGAGCCTGTAGAAAGTGCTTGATTGAGATTCTTTTTCGGTTTCATTAGTCGTAAAACAAGACACACGAGGTAAAGGTTGCGTGTAGTCCGGTACCGTCCACGAGAGTCCGACGCGAGATCGGGATGAGAAGAGTCTCTCGATGAGGGAACATCGACGAACGTGTCCAGTTCGCTGCACTTCTCCGCCTCTTCCCGTCGTCTCGTCGCCCTCTCACAGCACGTTGAACGACGGTGTTCTCTGGGTTACGTATTATATACATTAACATGTGCCGGAGAATAAAGAAACCGGAGATTTTACTGTGACGGAGATTGTTTTTCCGTTCCACCGCGCAGGATATTGCAATTCCACAGCGCTCGTTGAGGCTAAGTCACGTGCTAGAACTTTAAGCTATGTGTCCTTTCCCGCGTTCACTTTCCTCCTTCCCCACAAAGGATCAGTAGGAGACTTAATAACACAATGTTTTACGAAATGTCTAATTCAGTCCTTATAGCATCGTCTTCAAGCGAAGATGATTTATTCGAATAAAGAAAGAGAGATGTGTAGCTACCCTCGGACCGCATAGCATCATGCCATTTTCCGTTGCCCCTTCCATTGTCCTCCTCTTCTCGCATATCCTCTTCATTCTTCTCGCATTTCTTTGATAACTTGTTCATTAGGCTTTCTTTCTGAGTCCCCGTTCTGGCGATCGACCATCACTCTCGGGATATTCGACGACTCGATGAAAACGATTTCCATGCGGGGCGAACGAGATAAGACTTTTTAGTGATTAATTTGGCGAATAAGTGTTACGTTTGCTATGCACTGTCGCTGTATGTATCGGTCAATCGAAGAAATGGACATGGTTGCAATCCGCCTTGTGAACAATAACTCGCGATAAACTCGTTGATAATGCGCGATATCATGAGATAGTAGCGTTCGTTGACGAAGACAGGACAGTTGTAGGGACGACGGACTGCACGATGGTTTCTAATGCATGATTAGATGTAAGAATATGGTCCATCGGTGAGGGCGCTACACAGCAACAATCAGGAGGAGTCGTCTTTGCCTCGGGCACCTCTGCTCGGCCTGTATTCAAGACCCGGATCGAACTGCATCAGTACGAAAACCTGGCAAATTAAAAGTAACGACTCAGTAAAGTGACTTGAATTGCTTATAAATTGACAAAATTAAAAAAGTGCAATTAACAAGATATTAATCCTCCCTCAAGTTAGAGGCACTGTCAATATTTTAATTGTGTGTATATATAAATTCTGATAAATAAATTTACATCTATAAATATGCATAAAATATAATCCGATTCCTATGATAGGAAAAACTGGTTGTTAAAGTTCTCACAAGTATGCAAACATTTTTTCAAATTTTTATACAGTTCGGAACAATATAAAAATCTAATACTCAAAAACTTAAGTAATTAACCGAAGGTGCAAAATTCAATAGCTCATGAAGAGTTAAATTACAGATCTAACAATTATTAGTATAAATTATTTTATTTTTGTATTTTTGCTGTTATTAATAAAATGTTATTCGTGCTGTTATTAATGAAATCATATTAATAAAATTTGTTATGAATCTTAAAATTCTATAATACGTAATGAGATTATCTGAGATGTGATACCTGATCCGTGGGTAATAATGTAAAGTCATCGGGTGGATTTGTGATCACGTATCGTTTGGAAGAGGCGTCGCACGACGAGCTAGTGTCTCGAAACCTAGAAGATTCAAGTAAATGTTAGCAAATAAGAAGAAAGATAGTGGTGAGGAACACGAGCTATTTACACCAAGTGTAACTAAACTAATCAAAGTTGAGCTAAGTTAAGCTAAACTAAAGTAAACTAAGCTAAACTAAACTAAACATATGTGAACCGTATGACGGACAACTAAATGCTAAATAAATAACAAGATGACACAAAGATAGAAAGACAGAGAAAGATAGATAGAGAGAGAGAGAGAGAGAGAGAGAGAGAGAGAGAATAGTACAATAAAAAATGATAGGTATTTTTTGGATGAAGGCAACTTACAACTTGTTGCTTTTCATTACTTTCTTTTTCATGATGCAAAAACGCAAAGTGTAAAAAGTGTGCGGCAGAAAATCATAAGTCACATAGTAAGTACGTGAATAGTAAGAGGTAATAAACGGCGGTACAATAATGGCAGCAATTGGAGTATTCGCTGTTTTTGAACGGTAATATATACAAATGTATAGAAATATATGTGCGTAGGGTAATCCAATAAATACCATCGAGAGAGGGAAAAAAGTCCGGTACCTGTACCTGTACAGACCAATGCACAGCATTCCGTACGACTTTAATGCTGCGACAAAGAGGTCACCGTACTTGCCTCCCTCGCCATATTGAGCCAATGGCCCGTCGTACAACGCGATCTGACCAACACGACACCGATCCCTATTAGCCAGACTATCTGCCGTACTGTGAATCAGACAAAAATGTCACAGTTATCATTGTGCAAAAATTCTCCCGATTAACAATTGGATATTATTAAGATCTTACCTGTACCCTCCCCTTAAGCCTGCCCCTTCAGCCAGGATCAATTCCAACTCGGGCGTAGCTCCACCGGTGATCAGTGACCGAATCAGAGTTAGCGCATTTTGGTTGAAATATGTCTGCAGAAATACATAAAGTTATAACTTTCGTCGTGGCTTCCGATACAGCCTCAACATCATTCCAACAACATTGCAATATTCCAGAAATATTGCAGTAATATTACAGTAACGTTGTAATATTGTTGCAAACTTTTGTGTTGTATGGATAGAATGTCAAGAAACAAGGTACTAATTAAATATGAACGCTGAATGAACAAGTGTATGAAGTGTATTATTGACTGATACATAGTCCAAAGGCTTATTTTTAATACTGACCGTCGACATAAGAGAATCCAATACACTGACTGCAAAGGCAGTACCACAAGCGAACGGTTGAGTGAGGTAGAGTTCTGTGTCCGGGTCATCGTCGTCGTCCTGGTCAAGGAATTGCACATTGCTGTCATTTACAAGCTCTGGAATAGTAATAAAATTAATCATGAATAGAAATAAGTATGGTTGTTTTTAATATTCGGCACAAAGATATCTTTAAATTTTAATACAAAAATATTACAAAATAACATCTTTGGAAAAACCATATCCTTTAATAGTGTAATTAAAATAATATCTAATTAATTATAATGTTTAGCAATCTTCGTTTTTATTCTAACAATATTGAGCACATAGATATGTAATAAGTAATTCTAAAGATATGATAGATATAGAATCTTTTCCGTTACCTGTGATCATTGGCACATTTGCTCCATAAACAGATCCTCGTCGTTGCAAGACGATCGGGCTGCCAACTGCGATCAAATTGCCTTATTCATTATCTACACTTTCGATTTAATAGCATGGTTTAACAAAGAAATAAGATCCGCTTTTCGAATGATAATAATTATAATATCATACCTTGGCTAAGCACACCAATTGTGTCATCGAAAGTCATGGCCTTGATATTGAGGGATGCGAGTATGGCCTCCTTGTCGGCGAGGGTGGGGTCATCATTGCTAGGCACTTTAGCCGACAGGATGCAACACATGTCGCATAAATTCACATTAACGGCACGTAAATCGGCTCTACTTAATGGTGAACCCTGCGAAATATCATTCAAGTAAAATAAAAGCTGCAGAAAAAGAATTTCCGCCACAAAATTATTTTTCATTGTCTCCTTTTTATGTTAGCGATCAATTTGTATCGCAAGCGATTTTCTTGACTTTCATTAACTTTTCTGTCAATACATAGATATCTGAGTAACCGTATCAAAATTTTAATAAAATTTTTATATTTTTGTGCGAATTTCGTTATAATACCTCAACAATTCTTCAAACAACAAAGAAGAATTTGGCACAGATATCTCGTTATATCGTTTTATTTTCACATTTTATGCAAGAACTTTGTAAAACACGATAGTAAAAAATTATATATTGACAGAAAGGTTATTTGTTTCATGTTTAAATTTAGTAATTAGATACAAAAATCTTTGTTACTATCTGGAATATTAATATACACACACAATAATATTATATATATAATAATATAATAATATTAAAGTATATGTGATGTCTCAGATTTATCATGTACTTTTTTAAACCAACAGTTTGAATTTCATACTAAAAGATATGAAAAATATACAACTGTATTTCGATAAATTGTCTCTGTAATATCTTCTCGAGGCATTAATAAAAAAATCTATAAAATCTAAAAGAAGTTTTTTTTTTAATCAATATATATTAGAATAAATTAAAATTAGAGTAATTCGTCAAATTAAATTTTCAAGTCTAGTAATTATCTAATCTTTTTAATTTTTTATTCTATTGTTTAGTGGCTAACGAAAATAATATCTACACATTTTTTACAGATAATAATCTTTAATTACACTCTTGATTAAAAAGATTTATTTCTAAATTCGTTAAAAAAATTTAGAGCCAGATAAAGAACAAATATTCTATTGTGTAAATCCAAGACGTTCTGTACTACGATAAAATATTTACATCATCACGCAAGATAATGCTACGATTCAACGAAATGAGAACAGCTTCCTCACATTTAGAACCGATATCTTCGGTAGATTTTGCAGCATTTTCCACTCGCGGCGTATGTAGTCCACCGATCCAACTATCACTACGTGTTTAAGCTCGTGGTAATGAAAATTGGAAGCTCGTAATGGCATGACAAGATTCCTCAGTCCGATGAGGGGCGAGTCGGGATCGGCGAACAGGCAGACGACAACATGTCCGTTAAGAACTGTCATCGCTGCCTGATTACGATCCAGTATGCAGTCTTCGAGATTACGGGAGGGACTCCAATGGAACATCCCCGTCGAGTCGTACTTCATCTCGGTCTTCTCGAAATCGAAATCTTTCGCTTGATCGTCAGCGATCCCGACCTGAAGACCGCCGTTGTTGTTAACGTTTGTGCCACCCGAGGCTCTACTCGTTGGCCTGAAAAAAATCGCACGTTACAATTAAATAAACGAAGTTATAAGGTATAACATGTCCATCGCCAATGGTATCATAGATAGAATAACGATAACAATAATAATTTTACACTTATCCGTACAAAATTGTGAAAGAAATCACTCTCAAAATTTCTCTTCAAGCTTTTATCGATTAAAACCGTAAAGTCACACTTTCGCATGCATTTCATTCACATTGCATAATTTTTTATTATCTAGCGCTACTAGTTGTTACTTTATATCTGTTGTTACTTTATATCTTAGGGCGAGGATAAATTGAATAACAAATTACTTGAATGTAACAAATATTAAAGAAAGATATAGAACTTTTCAGAGTTATTAAGCTTCCGTGTCACATGCTTTATAATAAAATACAATTTTTAAGTGATAAAGGTTTAAGAAATGTCTTTATAAAATTCGCAATTTTCACAGGATTTGTTAAAAAGTTTATTGCGCATCTATTTAAATATATGTTGCGCGATTTTACATTTCTTGCGCAATTAATGTAATTCCGCGATTGATTCGAATTATTTATGCCACTTTTCATCTTTTTCTTTTAGAATTAGAAAAAAAATAAAAAGTTAGTTGAACTGAAATTAAAATTAAATTATATTGGTAGAGAGAAATCGGCATTAGATTAATTTAAAACGTTTCATTAAAATGAGAAATGTCAGTCAATGTAATTCTTTGTCTGAACACAGTACGTGCAAATTTTTCACGCATTCTGAACAAGACGTAAACGGCCATCATCGTTAATGTCAGTGGTGCATGTTTTCCAAGATTAAGTATACTCATAAAATTCTATGGACTTTTTAAAATTCTATACTTTTTGCCGTCGCACCATGCGACATATAACTACAGCGCAGTGCACAATTTCGAAGACGTAATATGAGATGGAAAATTTAATTTTATGGAACATACTACTCATTTGTGATATTTATGTCTCTATATATATGTCTATTAGGCTATATTTCTAATAATTTATTTCCTCGTAAAATAAGAAATAAAAAGCTTGACTTAATAATGCGCATTGAATTTGGCGGATTAACGTTTATTAACGATTGAATAGTTTTGTCAGATAAAAGCGCATCAAATTACCTAATTAATTCTTCTGATAAATAATAACAAAATAACATTTAATTTAAAAAAATAATAGAGCTGATAACACGTAGCAAACACTGTTAATTAATTTTATTAAACAAAAATTGAACATATCAAAAATATGATTAGAATTACTACGGGCATTAAATTTGATTTTACGTCAGTAATTACAACTTATTAAGTAGAAATATACGTAAAGTTCTCTTAGCACATTCTCGTAGAAAAAAGATGCATATGGCTTAAATATTCTATCGCGGTTTATATTCAGAGTCGAGCATCACTTGACATGCAGGGAGCATGTTCCTTATTATTACACAGCCGTGGGATAAAGCAGTAGCATAATCACGTCACAGTACAAGGTAGCGTTAACAACAGAAGCGTACATGAGCTTTTTGACTTCGTAGGCGAGATGGTAGCCAGCGTATGCGGACTCCTCTTGCGATCTGGAATCAGAAGGTTTGCGTAACGTTGGATCTGTTCTCAGATGACTCTCTCTCTCTTTGATTTGGCCCAGTTGATGGAAAAAATATAATGATGAGAATGATAAGTGATTCTTCGGCAATTAAATCAAGACTATTGTCCGATTTTAATGGTGAAAGGAAATATTGCCGCTTACACATGTGATCTTGTTTTAACATACAAAGATTTGGTTACAAATGTACGAATCATATGTGTTTGTTGGGAAAAAACACTAAATGTTCGAGATCTTGGAATAATAATAGAGAGAAATTGCAGAAACTAATCTAGTGGACGTGTAACAGGTTCATCGGAAAATGTCAACGACCACCTGTAGCCTGTTACTCGTACCATCCGGCAACGTAGTACAAGTGGCTGTCGTCCTCGCGCGATTTCTCTCGTGATTTATGCGAACCGTTTGTTGTTCAAGTTTACGGTGCCCTTTGTCAACACTTGAGCGAAATGATAAAAAGCACTTATATCTTTTGCTTCCGATTAATGTACTGTTTTACATCCTAGTTAACATCAAATAAGAGTAACATAACATCTAAGTTGCAAATTCGCACTCAACAATATAAATGTAATATAACATATAGTGCTACATAACAGTTACATTATTGAGTACAAATTATAATACATAATGTTATGTTATATTGTTAATTGGTATCAACTGGGATCATTTCATCGCTAGAAGATACAATTTGTCCGATCAGGCTATATGTCCTTTCACAAGAAAAAAATAATACTTTTAGAAATGTAACAAAATTAAATATAAATGATCAGGAGTCTATTCAGTTTATATGTCAACGGCGACTCGCGATATACATATAAATATCGAAATTACTCTCTCGATCGTAGATGAGATGATTCTGGATCGCATTGAAGATCTCTACCGAGAATCGGTACGTTAAATCTTGACGGGTTATATGGATCGTTTAACGGTTTTAGGAACATGCTAGAAAAATGCTAATGCAAAGGTCGTTGATACATTAATGTGCAGATCATCCTAGTGCACTCGATCAAAGTAGGACGTTGTTATATTAATAGATTAATATCGTTTAGCTGAAAAGTACACGCATTTACAAAAAAAAAGAACAATATAAAAGGCGCATATTTAAAACTGCACATTTTACTTTGTGACATGTATAATTAGATTATTCAAAATTCATTGCCAATTTGTCAATTAGAAAGTATTGTGCAACATATTAGATCTGCTCTTTTTAGCTAAAATTCTTGCACAGTTCATCTTTCTTCCTTTTCTCTCCACGTTGGAGAAAGGATAAACCATGCAAGAAGTTCAGCTAAAAAAAACAGACCTATTATGTACACAGAAAAGCTGTCACACAGAACGGCTTGACAAAATTCTTATTTACCAATTAGAATTCAAACTCTAATCGTGCAGCTATGAATAACATGTAAGCTCGTAATTAAAGTAAAGTGATAAAATGTAAATTAATAAATAAATAATTGTTGTACGACAGGATAGAGAGAGATCAGAGCGTACTTTAGGAAGATATTTACGTTCAAGCGACACAATCAGAGAAGAAAGCAATTCTCATTGTTTAGAAAATACGTGTCGATATCAAATGTCGAGTGCACTGTAAGTCTCGTCACAAAGTGATATAAAAAAATATATATATTAAAAAATCCGAGCGTTGTTTTGGGAAGATCGCTTCTCGCCTTCTTATGTTAATTCTCAGTAGCGAAATTCGCATGTATTGCTTTGGTTGGGTGCAAAACAGGCGTATTATTAAGTATTCTGATAATCAATGATTATGAATGAAATTATAATTTCTTATATACGATGGCGATGTAAGTGATCATGTTGGGATGCGAATATGCCAGGTGATGATGAACTGACTTGTAATGTGCTGCGGATAATTAGATACCTCTGATTATACGGCTGATTCGGGCTGGACAGACTGTCGTTCGTCGCTCGATTTACGTTTGGCTTCACCTTGTTGACCTGCTTCGTCGAATTTATCATGGTCATCCCAATGGAGTTCCGATGATTTCTCATAGCTGCAATGTAAAGGGATTATCAATAATATTGATAAAATAATATTGAATAATAAATGGTAAAAAGATATTTCATATCAAAGAATTAACAGATCAATGATTTTATAACTTTAATTAACAATTAATAGTAAATTAAATTAATTGATATTACACATCTCGTAATTAAAACTTACCATTCGGATCGTCTCGTTCACGGCTGATTTCACCTAAAATTGATAGAATAGTGTTAATTCCAAATCTGAGCATCCTATTGATCGTCGATAGTGGGCAAAGCAACAATGATTAAGACAATTAAAGTGTCACACTTTATCGTGACCTAACTCCCCCCATTACAGCGTATATCATTTTCGTGATGATGAGCCTACAGCCCCATGCTTACAGGCGCGCATACTTCACCCTATACATGTTTTTTGCATGTGTCACAAGATTAATAATTAATGGCGACGATCGAATGAGAAGAACTTTAATTGCAAATTTTTAAACTTTTTTATACATTAAAATTTTTTCCCTAATATCTATTAAATATCATATCTCATTACATAATTTTTCTAGGAAATTGATTCTTTCTATTTCTATTAACATTCGATTGCATAATATTTTGAAACTAATGCAAAGTATAGTTCTTATACAATAATGGTTCCAAAATTTGATTATTTTGACTATATAATAAATATTAAATATTCTTTTCTAAAAATATATTCTTAAAAAAAAAATAAAGTCAAAGGCAGGAAGAAAAATTTATTCACAGATTCTTTAAGTAGAAAAAAGCAATATCAGCTTTAAAAATATTGCAAGCTATTGCGGCGCTATGAAAATTAACGAGGGACAACATATGGCGCCTGTCGCGGTAGTTTCTTGAACAACCATTTTCTGCAATGATGAAATAAAATTATAAAGTAGATGATGTACACACATATTCGTCAACAAACACAGATGTTACCAAACTAAAACTTCCATATATTAGAAATCATTAATCTACCGTGCTGTGTATACAACTATAAATCCATCTTCACAAAGTTGAAAGCAACAAGATACTATCGATCGAAAAGCGCGTTTCACAAAGTCAACGACTCAGTCGTGAAACAAACATTCTAAATGTATTAGAGAAAAAATTCTATTTACGATACACAAAGTTTTAAGGGGAGAAATTAGTTTCAGCAAAAATTACTTGAACTAAAGTAACGTTTCTCAGACTTGTATTGTCAAAAATTAATTTGACTTAATAAAGTAGTATTTATAATTCATAATCTGAATATTATGTTAAATAAGATATTTATTAAGATGAAAGAGGAGAGTTTCAGAGTAAATCTATTGTTTATAACAAACTTGCGTATGTATTTAATTTATAAATTGACATGAAAGTATGAGAAACATTTGCATAATTAGAAACAATTTACTACTTACGCAGACGAGCACCAATAGATATTCCGAGCATTTTAATTATACGATTTTAACTTATTTCCAACAACTTTGGCATTCTTAATTTATATTCAAAAAAGATACTTTTTTTATATCCTCCGAATTTTCATGAAAAAATTAATTTATAGCAAAACATGTTTTGCAATAATAAATTATTAGATCAAAAAGCAATTACAAATATTATTTTTCGGAAAATTGCTTATTTATTCGCTTTTTCGTAAAAAACGCTTTTAAAAATGATACGCACGTCCATCGATATGTAATTTTACTTGAAAAAAAAAAACATGTAAGTCAATAAATAAACATATTTTAGTCATTAACATCTGCGAAATGTATTAAATGCTTTACGAATCTATGATGAAGCAAATAAATAAATATCAAAAATAAATTTTATATGACTACTAAATGCTATTGCAACTATACTAAAATTGTGATTTGTGCAAACTAATTCAATGAAATTTCAATAAATTTGAAAATCAAATAATTTGACTTTTTATAATTTATAAAAGATAAAATATAGATAATTTTATGTAATAAAAATGATTCCAAATGAAATAGTCATTAAAGTAACACGACATAAATTTATAACTTTAAATATACACTACACTAGAAATAAAATGATGGAAAAGTATGAAACAGGTATTGAATCTATTAAACAACTTCATGCAACGCTGTCAATAATAGAAAAAGTAGTATATACGAGAATGTTCATTAACACACATAATCATGATTAGAACAAAAGATTGATATTTCATTATATATCATTTTTTTCTACTTTTTCCAATATTTCAGCAACATAAAATTAGCGCGATAAACTTTAATGAAAGAAAAAAATCTTAATCGAACACGACGTATCAAGAACCCATCGCTCAAGCGAGTTTGACGAAGCGTATCAAATGTGGAAGATCAAATTTCCGAGAGATGTCGATCGAGAGCAGTGATTCTTTTTAGGATCGTCGTAACTGCTAATTGTCAAGCATATTCGTGTCGTATTGCCAATCGAAATTAGAAAGGGCAGCTTGCGAGACTGTAGCATGGTTTTTGATTGAGGTGTAACTGTACCTCTTACGTGAACCATCTTGGGCAGTTCTGGCGGAGTGAATGTGGGGGGAGGATGGTGGTCGTCTGTAACAAACCACTACACATGTTAGCTACCCTAACTAATTACCTAAGGCCTAGTCGCTACTCTATCGTTGGACAGTACTAAATCGCTATAACTTCTAAAAGCGAAGTTCCGTTTCAGCGTCGCGTGACGATACTGATAATTAAGAAATCAGAATAATTTTGTTATACTTAGCAAAAAAAAGTTACAAGAATAGTTTTTCCTTACCTTGCGCTAAAAGCTAAGAAATATAACGAGATACAAAAATATTAAAATTGGATTATTATATAAACCGTTGACTAAAATTTTACTTATATAATATAAATGTCAATATAAATTAAATCTATATATATGTAATAATTAAATGTAGAATATAACGACGATATTAAGCTGAAACGGCCTTTCATTATTGCGCTAAGAACAAAATATCGTACAGAAAATAATCACTAAAATTGTGAAGATAAATGTGTAATTCTGAAATTCTAACAGATAAATATACAGTTCGTGACAACATGGACGAGTTAAGGTCAAAAGGCTTTTATGAGAATTTTAATATTAAAAACGATTTCTCGACCATATTGCGAGAACGTTATACAACATGATACTAAAATCGACCTACGATCATAAACGTGCAGTGTGCTCAAAACATTCCTAATTCATGCCGAAGATGACGCAAGCGGAGAAGTCGTAACCAATATCGAGCAACTTACTAACGTAACAACCTTTGACTATTTCCGATGAACGTACAAGTTAAAAATGATCTATTGCCTCCACTTGCGTCGTGTTATATCCTGTCCTAAGCATGCTACGATATAATCTTACAGAGTGAATATTTACTCGGCATTGTCAGTGCGCGCTTTGCATTCTCCGGGAAAGAGAATTCACGTGCAAAACGACAAAGACTTTGCAAAAGCTCAGGAGGGATTGAAAGAGTGCATGAAAGATCATAGAGCTCATCTACTGAAAGCGCAAGGAGAATTCTCTTTTTGGATTTCGACGTGAACTCGCCATCTGCGAGACGAGACGCGCCGACGATTGCGACCTATACTTTATTTACAATTGACATTATTTCGAAACCGACGCACAGTGTAAGACGAGTGAGAATACTTTGCAACTTATGCGAAATTCCTTTTTACGCACTTACTCGAGCCCCTCCTTCCCCCCCCCCATTGTACGGAATAACGCTACGTTAATTAGAAATTGTAGACATTCGTCTTCTCGGAAAATCAAAGTATATCACCTTTGATACGTTTCTTCCAAGGAAACATCCCCACAAATTGTGCAAAGTGTAATTCCCTGTTTTCCCTTTATAAAACACGAGATTGCAGAACTCCCAGTTTTCTTGAGAGGATATAAATAGAAATTAATGAGGAAATGATTAAAGTCGTCAAATCGAGTTGCGAGATATATGTATTGCGCTTGCTTTATTAGAAGATATATATATATATATATATATATTTCAATCTCACAATCAAATTTTTAAATATGAAACACCGCCAAGAAACTAAATCTCCAAATTATTGTAGCTAGCTTAAATTGACACGCATTTTCCCAATTCGATTTTAATTCAATCCATTTTCACATGAAATTGATGTAATATCTCATAATATTTTCCATTTTAAATTGTAATTTTTCAAATTTTCAATTTCGGTGACTTGATTTTTGCACGACGCTATTTATTCACGAACACATATATTTTCCATGTTCCACAAAATGCAATAAGTTTCATCCCGTAATTCAATCTGTCAATCTAACTCGTTTGTCAGATCAAGTTGGAAAATAAATGATAGACCGATGTAGGATGTTCGAGTAAATGCGTATAAAAGGTGGTACGCTTCATCATCGGCGGTATTGCCTACGGTTATACAGCATCACTGCGTAAACCGTTGAATGTCCGCGTTTTATTAGCACCTACGCTTCTATGAACGCGTAGTAACGCGTGTGCGTACGTTGCGATTTAAATTGCATCTTCTCGTATGAACGCGACCGCGGCCGGGGGAGATTGTACGTGAAATTAAATATAATATATACAAGATGAGAGAAAAATGCATATATATATATATAATATAAATGTCAATGTAGATCCGCGTTTTTCGCTAGACTTACTTGCGTACGAGAGGTCTTCACCTATGCGGAGTAGTGGAGGAGACGAGGAGAGAAGATAGATTCGGACAGATAGACACATATAGAGAGTTAGTTAAAGAGTCTTTGCTTGCGAATCTCGTGTTCTGTCGTGAGCCCGTGCGCGCGCGCGTGTGTGTTTTGTTGTTTCGCGCGTGTAGATTACGCATGTACGCGTGTATATGTGGGTGTGTGTGTGTGTGCGCGTGAATGTGAATTGTGTGTACCTTGACATTTAATGTGAGTGCTAATTTGCGTGTTTCACCGTGTATGCATGAGTAAGATGAGTGTAGAATGCGTTGCTCGAATGAGCGATGCAGTAGTGCTAGTGTGTAGATTTTTACGTTAATTAATTGACATTTGTCACGCTTCTCTTACGCGCGCATCGCTCACGTGTACACGTCTATCTAATATCGTGAAGATGTGGTGCTCAGCCGGCAAACAAGCCGATCTGCTTCCGAAAAAGGGAAAAAGGAAAAAAAATAGTATGACAATCGGAGTAACGGGCGGTCACCAATGTTTCATTGATCTCTACGCCGTTGGCGAATCAAACTGTCCGCGAGGTTGCTCCGATAGCCAATAATTTTTTTTATGGCACAGAACACTCGTTGATGTCGCGTGACAACGCCGTCAATCCAAAAGCGACGTTCATCTGACCGTTAATAAAGTAAATGGATATCGGCGGTCCTGACGATATCAATGTGGCGTTGACGCCGACTCAAAGAGTGTTTTGCGAACAAAACACACAGGTACTCCATATCCAGCGGTAACACTCATGTGTTAATTACGAAACATTTACTATGACGTCGAAAATATTTAAGGAAATACCGAAGCGAATATCAAGTTATGGCGTTAGTTAAAGACGTTAGTTCTCTTCGATATCAATGATCGTTGCCTCTGCCACAGGACGAGTAAAAATCCACGTAATAAAAAAGGCTAATTCTAAAGTATCTCTAATTACACGTCGAGTTATTAGATATCGAACATCGATGCAAGGTTGATTGGAGGTAGTTTAATACTTCAAGGCAACCACATCACGTCGATTCTCGATTGCGTTAATTTCATAATTCACTCACAACAATAACCATCGAGTAACACTGACAAACTTTTAGGAAAACTACATTCAAAACGACATTGATAGTAGTGTAATCTCAGTTGCAAAATAGTTAAGAACACCACACCAATAGGGACTCAAACACTAACGATGTTCTACGCTGGAGCCATTTATCAATCTGAACGAACTTTAGGAGATTAGCACAACGACATTATAATTTTTGTTGTAAAAACTTATCGCGGACCATTATGTAGACCAATCAAAATCTTACAAGCTTAATAAATAGACTTAATATCTTGTATTAGGTATGAAAATTTCTGTGGCATGTTTCACGTTGTGCTAGTCTTGTTAAATATGTAATGGTAATTTTTTTATTTGATAATCTTTCATTTAAAACCGCTTAAAATTTATCAATAAAATAGGCCTTGACGAAAAATTTATTGAAAGAAACACATGTAATTAAAGTTTACCGTGAGATCGTCGTATAATAAATATTGTATGATTATAAATGTAAAAATTTTGACTATATATATATTATTTTTAATCGTCAAGACCTTAAATCGTGTATTGTAACTTCAAATCATGTTTCCGGATTAAAAAATTTTGCTTTTTTTACAATAAACCGTCAAACAAATGATATAATTAATCGCATATAAGATTATTTATTTAAATATGACCTTTGAATTGAATTTATTTGATATAATAGATAATAACTGTATTTAAATAAATAAATTACATAAATATTTAAATACAGTTAAAAGTACAGTTTTTAATTGATATAACAATATTTAATATAAGGTAAGGAATTATTATTGCAATGAGATTTACATTATTTAGATATTTCAATGAATATCACAAATTCATTACTTCAAAATAATTACAGTATTTTGTACTATAAATTTACTAGCATTTATTTTACAGCACATATGCATCTTTTATGCATCGTATAAAATAAAGAGAAAATTGCTTTTCTTTATGTATATTGTACATATACAATTAGTTAGAACTATAATTTTGTTATAATATGAACGCTGAGGTTTTTTCGAGTCAAAGGCCATGTTGCTCTATTAGAAAATATTATATATTTTCACAATCACACCTTATCCAATGAATTTACTTTAAAAAAAAAAAACCTCCCTATTTCCGGGATTAAGATAAAAAAATGACGTTTGGTACACAGTCTACACACGGGGGATACGTACTTGCTCTTCCAACCATCTGAACAGCTCGCACGCCTTTCCGGAATGTGGCCACTGCCCGAAGGGAGGAGAACCAGAGCTGTTAGTTGTCACAACCAAAATAATGTCAACCTAGATGCGGGGGTCTCAACGGGTGTAGGGGATCTAAATCCGTTGTCCCGATCGATATGTCACGTTTAGAGCGATTTATCAAGATCAGGGTATCACAAATTTTCGTACTTTCTCTTTGATCTTCGATTTAATTTAATTTTTTTTCTTACTTAAATTTAATTTTGTACTTATATCAGCGTTTCTTAAATTACTTTCTTAAATTCAAGATTAATTTAATAAATCATGTAAAATATTTAATTCGTGTAAAAATCGTTCATGAAAATATAATATATTATAATAGAAATTGAATTTCGAAATAAAGATTCAATCTAATGTTGTTAATTTAGCAGATCACAAAGATATTTCAACTTTCGCGAAAATGTCATTGTAGCTTACTGTAACGTGACCTTCGATGGAGAGAATCATTATTAACATTGGTGTTACAACCATTGCATAGTTTAGTTTGGCCTACTGTGAGGATCGCAACACATAGATATTATATCTGCGCTGTGCGGTTGAATCTCATATATTCAAAAATACGTAAAAAAGAAATAAACATTTTCTTAGAAGTCAATATCGGTTGCAGAGTGTCGGCGTTATATTGTTGTGATGTTGGTGAGTGGTGTCAAATATGCTCGATATGTGAGGGGGAAATGAAGTATTTTTAGCCGATGTAAACCCTGGGCATCGATTATCATCGTCCCTGTAAGCTGTTTAAGCTCATGGTAAGCTTACGTCTTGGTGCTCTTTCTGGTTGCGTGCCGAATTCAATCAACCCGCACTTAGCGACATTGAAAGTATATCATGGAAACGGAATGTCACGTGCACGAGCAGATCAATATCATACCTAATAATGCACTGCTGTAGTTTTTCTGAGTTATTAAAACGTTTTGGAATTTAAAAAAAAAACATATCACATGTAACATATTTGAAATTCTTCTTAAATAATATGCAACAGTTAAACATACGTAGAGTTTTTAATATTCTTTTAGTTAGATGCAAAATATTCATAAAGGCATGTTTAAACATTTGCACAAGATTTTCAAGACGAACATCTGTAATCATATTTTAATTTCGTATTTAATATTGAATTTAGACAAAATTGACACAGAAATTAATTAAAATGCTGCAATAAAATTTGATTTCGCAACGATTAATTATACAATTTCTTATGTAAATACGGGGCAATAAAAAAACGTTTTTCGCGAAAGTCGATATTGAAAAAATGATTATATTTACTCATGACATGATGATAATATATTTATATTAATTATGCTTATATTAATACTTATTCATTAATTTCTAAATTTATAAGTGCATAGTTTTACGATATGATTTTTGGGATTGCAACTTTCACGAAAAGCGTTTGATTTGTGCAGAAACAATGCAAACTTTTACATGTTGATATATACAAGGCGATCCAAAGTAATAACACTTGCACTCAGTTATACAATAAAAGATATGCATGTATGTAAATACGTATGTAAATATATATTTATTCATTTATGGAGTATATAATATTTTGGATAGCCTTATACATAAAAAAAAGACACTTCAGTTCCAAATTGTCACGTTTATTGTTGCGATCATTGAAGTCGGTTCCGGTAAAAAAAAAAACGAATAAACATTGTATGCGTGTTACATGAATGAACACGTGACAATATCTGGAACTGGTGAAATATATGAATTATCAATAAAAATCCACGTAAGCACACTGAAACGACAATTAAGAAACGTTAGCAAGCCTGAAATATGATATGGGCAAACTCGTCGACTGGTGTTAGGTGGCAGCCATTTAATGTGAAGACATAAAATATATATACGGCTCGGCAACGTGCAAGAATGCGTTTCTGCGCGAAAGCGGCCATTGTATCGTACTTGTGACGAATGAAGCTAAACATAATACGCAATAGTTAATCAATTTTTGCGGCCGCATTTTTTATGACCGCATCCGTTCGTCCAATTGGAGTGCTTGTTACTCGGCCCCGTCCCACGTGTCGAAGTAGGAGAAGAAGCGGCGAACAATATTAGTGCTACATAACGTAACTATATGCTACTATTAGAGGGCGATGCTCGGTAACTCGCTCAATGCCATCAGCTCTAGCAAAAGCCCAACGATAAACAATATGGATCATACGGATCCGAGTGGAAGAATATCGTATACGGGGTACTGTGGAGTAAGTGCACGTGATAAGTGAGACGATTAGTCCGTCGGTTTGGCTGTTGTACGTTCAATATCACTTACGCCATCTTACCTCATTACACAATTAAAGTCAACCTGATTCTGCCGGACATCAAATCTTTTTTGTGATGTCGCCAAACGAAAAGTTACGCGAATATTTCATGATCACGATTTCTCAATATGTGTGAACATAAAATAGCATGCCAAGTCCAGCAGAATGCATTTTGTCAGAATAACATCGAGCATGGATCGAGCATGGATATGCTGACAATTGGAGTATCGATTTTAAAAAGAAATTTCTTTTAAAGAAAGAAATCCGACATTATTAATTTTTAAAGAATCAATCCATGTGCTTTAAACTGACAAATTCTCGCAGAACAGGCTGCGACAGGTGGACACGCATATACGAGATACGAATAGGATGGAGGAGGAAGCCGGCAACAGGCATACCGTCGAGATAACTGCTGTAGGCAGTGTTTCCCTTCACCATGCCAGTCTGCATCATCATCATCCCCACATCTGCAAAAATTCAGCGATCGACCCGGACACGGGTTTGTGAGTTATGAATAAAATGAACGGAACGCATCATATATGCACGGGAGAAAAACGTGAATGGCTGGTGTTCACAACGCACTTTATTTTTTCTCTCCTTTTTATTTTTAGTAATGTATAATTTCTGCGGAATTCGTATGTGCACGTGCGCGCGAACGAAATGAATTGTGCAATGTACATAATGCATAGTATGCAAATATTAATTGTAATCCAAATACTAATCATTCCGAAAGTATTTAAAAATTTGACGAATAAAATTAATTTTAATAAAAATACTACTGACGATATATATATATAATCTAGTGGAGAGAATTACCGCGATCCCGCGTCAGTCCACGTACGAATTCGAACACGAAATTAGTCACAATATTTAAATACGTCCAATCACAAATAAGGGTACCCTCGATACATCCAAATACGTAATGCTGAAAAAAAATAGAAAATATCGAGCAAATTACCTTTCTTCGTCACCATCGAAATTCTTTGAAAATCTAAAAATTAACGTTGATCGACATTGCGGATCGCCCAGCGCTCCGGCACGAGCACCGGGAACATTGATTGCCCAGGGTTTAGGATATTACCGTTCCTGTATATGGACAAGACTGTGATCGTGTGGTCGGGTAAGCGTAAGTCGCTATTCGAGGGAAACTAGTGTGGATGTAATCGTGTACATGGTCGTGTACAAGTGTACGCTTGATGTGGTATGTCGCGTGTGACATGGAAGGAGTTGTCGGACGGGGGCGACCCGTGATCTCCCCGATGTGCCTGAGTGACGCCGGCACGGAGATCTCGTTCGTGGGGAACGGATGAGTATGCTCCTGCCATCGGCGCACTACCGGTCGGCGATCCAATTTCACTGGCGATTCAAGAACGAGAAACGTTCGACGAACGTGAGAACACGCGTGAATGCAATGGAAGGCGCGCAGTTCGATCGGGCTGATTGATCGACGAGAGATCTCATCGATAATACAGCTAGCATACGTTAAGAGAGAAAAAGAGCGTGAGAGAAAGAGAGAGAAAGGGAGAAAGGCAGACGATTAGAGAAGACAGTTTCGGAAACTGAAGTAAATGGAGACAGCGAGACAGAAAGAGAGAGAGAGAGAGAAAGAAAGAAAGAGAGAGAGAGAGAGAGAGAGAGAGAGAGAGAGAGAGAGAGAAGACAGAGAAAGAGGGTGTGAAGATAGACAGTGATCGAGAAAAAAGCTGTCATTACCATTATGGCGAAAACAGGTCTAAATCCGGGAGCTAGTCATGCATGCAAGGCGAGCGAGAGGGGCACACACTATTAGTGCAGGCTAGTTTTCGTTCTGGTCAGGTGGACATGCGCCAACTGACTGGACTTTCGGGAATTACTGTGTTGAACTCGGTACTTCATTTATTTTTCACGTCATTTCTCGCGATCGGAGCGAGCATAAAATTTCCCCGAAAATGAAATAAATTAATCATGCTCGTCGTTACGTGACACACAAAGTCGCAATATTTGATCTACTCGTGCGTAGGCGCGTAATGAATTTTCCATTTAATTCGTTACAAAATGTATTACGTTCTCGCTGTAGCTTTTGCTATTGGTTCGCAATTGCAAAAATCGCTGCGAGATTGACAAACTCAAAAAAAAAAAAAGGAATCGACGAAAAACGTGACAGTGAAAAATAAAGAAAAGTCCGATTATAGCACCGCCTTGAGGATTGTGTCTTGCAATGAAGATTAAAAATGCAATCATTGTTGTGCTGATCATCATCATCATGATAATTATCCTCATAATCATCACCTTGGGTTGCAAGAGATCGATTAATATCGGAAGTAATATATTCATGGGACAGAGAGAGAGAGAGAGAGAGAGAGAGAGAGAGAGAGAGACGGAAAATACAGACAGAGAGAAAGAGCGAAAGAGAAAGACAAAGAGAGACAGAAAAAGAGGAAAAATGAAGGGTAGGGAGCAATGAAAAAGGGGGGTAACTTAATAGAAAGACAAAATATCGCAAGGCGCGGAACAGAGTTTTAGTACAGAGGCAAAAACAGTAGACAGTACAGTCAAGTTGATTTTTGGCGAGTGAAGGGGTTGAATCAAGAGCCAGATCGTATATAAAAGGGCAAGAAGATTAAAAAACAAGTGATAATCATAGAGATGATAATAAAGTATCAGACTTAACGAACGAGTGTGAGAGACGTTACCTAAGTCCCGGCCCCAGGAGCGCTGCTGCTGCCCCACTAGATCATATATCACAATAGGATGGTCACAACCATGTCACTTCGTTAATAGTCGCATTTATTACTGTTATCACGCTCTCAAACAAGGGCAAAGAGGGTGGGCTGGTATAAACCGGAGTGAGCGAGGGAGAGGGAAAGGAAGAGATGTAAAGAGAGCTTCCTATGATTCGTTTATACTTATACGTTACTTTATGTCGAGACATTATAATTTTGCGAGTCAAATCAAAGGCACGCTCCATCAATATCGACTGACAGAGAGAGCGAGAATGAATGAAAGAGAGAAAGAGAGATAGATAGTTATAGAGAACGGGAAGAGAAATCGCGTGTGAGACTCGCAATCTCTATCAATAGATTGAACGCGTTCTATGTACAAAATACATCTGTGTACAGTTTATATGTTACATATACATATATATATATATATATATATATATATATATATATAATCGAGAGAGAAGACCGGATGTCATTTAGCAGAAAATTTGGCAAAAATTGAGAAAGGCTGTTTAAAGGATCACTGGGCCAGAAAGACTTACAATTTTTGCACTTGCACTTCTTGATTAGAGTCTCGTCTTTAATATCCTCGTGGCATGCTTTGCAATAGAACCACGCCCTGGAAATAAAAGCACAAGAGAGACACACGATTATTATTCGCACGAATTAAAAAAGGAAGTCTTTTAGATTTTTATTGGAAAAAAATAAAACGATAAAATTGAAAAATAGAGAAGTTAATTACAGAAGTTGATTGTATACAGTTCAGTTTATAAAATATTGTAAAATAATAAGAAGAGAGGCAATATACATATTATATTATTAAACACATTCTTGTAATTTGTTGTAAAAAATTATAAAACGCTTGTTCTAAGTTATATTAAACGTTGTATATTGAAAATGAACACTTATAGTTTTAACTAGTCGAACCTCTTTAGCTTGTCTTAAATGCATTCTTATTTCTCTCTCGATAATTAATAATCCTTAATAGAATTAAGTAGAATGTACAATGTCCGAATAAGCTTCCGCTTTAAATGTTTTTAGCGATATTTCAAAATATTTGAGGATTCTTACCGCTTTACTTCGTCAGCAGATTGAGCAATGAAGAATCCCTGAGTATTTGCAGCGATCTTGGCACCACGTGGGTTAATCGAAATTTTACTGTCGGAGCCTCCTTCGCCCTTTATCTCGATAGCCAGTAGCAAGAGCTTCAGTTTTGTGAAGCACAACCTACGACGAAGTTATGCGTAATATTCGAAGTCTCACCAGCTTGAGCATCAAATTAACAGAAAATTTAAATATTTTGTTTTGTTTTTATACCATACATTTATGGAGTAACATTATATGCAAAAACATAGCCACTGATAAGCGACTAAGAATACTGCGAAGCTGTTGTCGTTGATAATGAGTTGTTTTTAAATAAGTATAATAATGTGCAACTAATATCTAAATTCGTTCTTTGTAATGTAAAAATGTTTACAGCAGTAAAGTAATTAATATATAATAATTATGAAGTATCTTTAACAAAATAGAACATCAGAAATAGTAGAACAACTCAATATCATCCGTGTTAGGCAAACAATGAAACTTGAATATATAAAAGGAACTCCTGTTGCTCATATGAAACCATTTTCATTTTAGTCTTATTATAAAGCATAAGAGAGATTATATAAAATTATACAATTTTGTAATATAACTACTACTATAATAATCCTTTAATATAGCTATTTAAACATATATGAGTATTTGCATACGAATGCAAGCTTCATTCTTTGCACAAGATTTATTTGCAAATGTAGCATAAAGTATTTCCAGACTGTATTTATATATATATTTAAAATGCATAATAAGACAAAATAGAACATTTATTTAAGATTCACATTTTCTTATCTAAAAGATGCAGTTTAAAAAAATAATTTGTAAGAGAGAGAGAGAGAGAGAGAGAGAGAGAGAGAGAAAGAGTGAAACTTCATTTAACATTATTTTATTATTTAACGTATTGGGTCTCTCTAATTGTTCAATATAATTGTTCAATATAATAATAATTTAATAATAAATAAATATTTTATAATTTTTCATACTTTATGCCTTTCATTTAGCGAATAATACGTGTTAGTAAGATATGTGTATATACACCCACAGCGTAACGGGATACTGATTGTGCAGAGGCAAGTCTTATTGTTCAGACTATCAAAGCATTTAAATTTGCAGTGCTTATTTATTTAAAAAAATTAAGCCTTGTTTATATACCTGCGTGTATCATCGTTCCCGTTATACCACCTCGGCGCTAATTGAACGTTAAACAATCATGCAATCGATGCAACATGTATCGATGAATCAATCCAGGCAATCATGCAGGAAAATCTTACGTAAACGACATTACTTATTTAATAATACGAGCCGAAACATGCCAAGATAGGTTGAGAATCTCTATCGTCCTTTATAGACTATCTATTACGTTCTAAGTTCCTAATCTATTTCAAAGTTCTAGGAGACATTCGGGAGATCCCATCCATGTAAGGATCAAACGGATTAACTAATGTTCGGAAAGCATTATATGTATATAATATAATCGGATACGATATATGGCATATAAAAAAATAATAATGATAATAAATATTCATAGATAATAAATATTCATAATGTATTCAATGTGAAGATCACTTCTTACAGGAATAGATCTCTCACACACGCAAACCAAACGATGACGATCCAAGTGCGCATAAATCAAACAGAAAACTCGGAAGAATTGTAGCTTTCTGTTTCGCGATGCAATTCACTGATCTCTGTACAATATACCAAGGAACTACTATCATTTCCTTTCAATATCATCTTCTTTAAAAGATTGTGATAGTAGTGAAAGTACTAATATCTAACTCTGCAAAGTGTTTTAAATTTCTGTCATTTGCTTTCATTTACGAGATAATTGATCTTGAACTAATATTCAATTGCCTGTTATTTGTTATCACAATTTCTTAACATAATAGTTTTAAATATTTCTTTAATTGATCAAATTGTCGAATCAAAGTTTGTTTAAGATGTATTCGAATTACAGAAAAAACAAAGAAACTTAATTTGTAAAATTGTTTAAATTTTCGTAACTCAAAACTATCGCTGCCGTGATATTTTTGCAGATGAAAGTGTACTGGCAGTCTGCCAGTATTAAATGTGTTATCCTAAAAATATAAAAATGAAAAATCACAGAAATCAGTGATGCAATTTTAGGCAAATATATACGGTGCAATTCAGACGGCTGAGAAAGGATATCAACGATGATTTTTTTTTCATTGACGATTGATTTTCTTAGTCATTTATTAAGACTATTTATTGAACAATATTTATTACGGCGTATATTATAGTATTTATTTAATTTAATTTAATTAAAATTCATTTAATTAATACAGGGCAATATATTATACATTTTTACTGTGTAATATATATTTCTAACTTAAGCGTCATTTTATAATATTTATTTTCATCACAAAAACTCGTAGTTACAAAAAAAAGACATATTTGTTTTCATAAATACGTATAGTTCTTGGTTGAATTTATTTTTATATATAGTGACTTGCAACGAAAACAAAATGTGAAAGGATGTAAAAGTTATGACATATTTCTGATAACTTTTCCATGTTACTTTGGTTTTTATAATCAATGCATGTATTTTATCATAATTTTCATTTTTATTGAATAAGATCTGAACGTGTACACTTACAGGAAAATATAAACTACCTTTGGAACAAAGTTACACACTATATTCCGTATACCTTACATGCTTCATGTATACATCATAATTATAAATTCTTACGATTAATTTCGATTGCAAGTAACTATATGTATATAACACTTTGATCAATTTTTATTGTATGTATGTGTGCGTGTGTGTGTGTCATAGTAGATATTAGTGAGCCGATATCTGTAGAATATATTAGTACTTGTAGGAAGAACGGTATAAATTACTCCCATAAATTACTTCGAAAATTTTCGCAAGAACAGAACTGCGAGCTCGATTAAAGTTTGTTAACAAACTGTGTGTACTAATACATATTTATGTCTAATCGGCAGCCACGATCGATATCTGCCCGTACACTTCTTCAATAATTGGTGTCAATGTGTTACGAGAATAAGTTTTACATACTTTTACAAAGAGCAACAGGCATGCGTGTACAAAGAACGCGCTTTTGTTAAGATAATATTAGATTATGCTACATCTAAGAACACACACCATGACAAGGATACGGACATTACCGACAAAAAAAAACAAAAATTTCATCCGTTATGTTATATTTAAGTGTTCGTATAAAAAAAAGAAAGATTTCGCTATCCTTTTTCCTAATAAAGGTAGAATTGTAACTTTTCGCCGTTTCGCCGGAATGAGGTCACGGTACGCCCGCGTTTCTTTCTCATTTCGTCTCACGTTGCGCCGCAAAAAACTGTGATATTGCCGAAGCGGGATGCACGATTTACCGGGATGAATGCGGATCTCGCAAACGATTCTCTGAAACGCGCGCCTGACTGCAACTAATTACAGCTTATTAAGAATAGCCGTTGGTCACGTTATACTGTAACACGATATTGTGCGCGCCAATTTACGATTAAAAACATTCAAGGCCGACAATTAAGCAATTTTCGTGACATTTAATGCCGCGAAAATGAACACTTTGTATATTTTATCTTATAAGTCCTTTAGTTTCAATTATTATTTTTCATATTAATTTCTATACATTAAATAATTGATTAAATATAATAAAAGAGAAAATAAAAATAAGAAATCTTTAAAAAAATTCAAGAAAAATATTCTGCGTGTCACGTAAACGAATTGAGTTAGGAGGAACATTAAACAATATGCAATTTTCAATTTCGATATTAATTGTTCCGCGAAATAGTGTCAGAACACGAGAGCTCCATTGCGTTCAGAGGTCTCGACATGGTCGTCACGTTTGACAGGAACATTTTTAGAATCGCGACCATTTGCACGCAAATCACCTGCGCCGGTGTTCCCAGAAATTTTGGAATCTAGGTGTGGGTTTGAAATACTTTCGTTTCCGGGAAACATTGTTGATTCCCTCGTTGCCAATCAAATGTCTCAATTTGACCAGTACGACCCCCGGCAATCGCTATGACTGGCAAGCAAAGTCCGCATTCATCCCCGGTATGTCACTCTACTCTTTATTTCTATGCAATTCAACAAAGATTTGTGCAGAATTTCGAGCAGCTCGAAAAAGAAAATCAAAACTGAT